TGTCACATGGCAATGACACCAATCATGTGTTATGGAGGTCCCTACAACGCATTTTTCGTCAAAAGAAAAAATTATTTCCAAATTGTTGGAATAACCTCTCCCAAAATTGCACACAAGGGGTAGCAGACAAACTAACTGGTGATGCAAACATCTTTTGTGCAACTTTGAAGTAGACCCCAAATTGTTAACACAGCTTTATGTGCGCGTAGATAATGTTTTCGTATTTTCTCCCTTTTTTTTGTTTTTTTTCTTTTTTTGAGCTCTCGCCAATGCGCTAACACAAAGGCGTACACACGCAAATGCATGAGTCGCGTCCGCACATGGGACTCGAATTCAGTGCTGATCTATGTTGCCATTAAGGCAAAAATGAAGCTACTCTTGAAAGAAGCAATATTTTCCTTGTTAATAAAGAGAGCGTGTTTATGTAAAAACGCCAATTGGTATGGGGGGAATGTACTTCTGTCCGGTATCGCCTAATCCATCACATAGGATACAGCACTGGGAAGGACATTAAAATTTAAAAAAATTCACAGATCGAGTAGTTCTTTAAAGAAAGGATATACACATAAACACAGAGGAGTGTCCTATTCAAAACGTTTCGTGTTCCTTTGTGGTTCCATGAACAATGCGGAGTGTTGCATGTGTAATATTCTGCGCACGCTCCGCGCATCAACTGGAGAGCAGTGCAAGAAGACACAAAACAAGCGGCCAAGTTACGGTGAAAAATTCAAAATTCAAAATTCAAAAAATAAAACATACACAGGAAAAGGAAAAATTAAAGCGCAAAAAATGAAGTACAAAAAAAAAAAAAAGGATACATTCACTTATGGAATGGAAAAAAAAAAAAAAATTATTTGTGTGGGTATGCAAAAAAAAGGTGCATCCGACCTGAGGGACAGTAAACTTCTTAATGGGGACAAACAAAATAGTTAAAAAGAGCAAACATATCATCTCGCATGGCAGCGTTCTTCTCCAAGGTAGAAGCACACATGTGATAATGTCCTAGTCGAATTGCTTGAAAAAGTGCAACATGCTAAGAAGCGTTTGAGGAGGGAGAATGGACTTACTCCAGTCGCTTGTAGAGCAAATAGTTCTTTTTCATATGACCCTTGTAACGTGTCTTTATGAGGTAAACATAATCATCACGCATTTCCTTGAAGTACTTTTTAATTTGCGCTTTGTATATACTGATAAGTTTGGCAGTCAACTTGGAAGTGGCTCCATTGTCGTTTGGGATTTTAAGTTCGTCATTTGTGAGTGAAAATAAATCTAACTTCATCTGAGCAATCATTTTTGATAGTTGCTTTTTCTTGAACTCGAAAAAAGAGTTAATGACGCTAACCATAGGTACTCTTTCCAACTGAGTAAGGGCATAAGATTTGACAGAAGGATCGTATTCGTTGAGCACATAATCCGTTCGTGTGATTTTTTTTTTGTCATTCTGTAGTAACGCTTCAATGTGAATATCGGAGAGTAACCCATCTCTTGGCATTAATTTCATTAAATTTTTCATGTGTTCATGTATGCCGGATATAACTGCATTGTAAATGATTACGTTTTTAAAGCAGGCTCCGTAAAGTCGAGTATATTCCTTAATATAGTTAGTCATTCCTTGCAAGGAGCCGTAGATAGTAGTATGGAGAGTAACATATCTGTCACAAACACTTTTCAATGCAAAGAAGGCGTAGTTTCTCTTTAGGTGGTACATATGTTCAAAAATCCATGTGAGTTTTTCGAAAACTGCATCTGGCGCATTCTGGATATCGTTAAACAGTTTGTTAACTAATTTTCTGCTTTTGTAACTCAACCCATTTTGAAGCAAATATAATTTTGATTTCACATTGTTCAGAACAATTTTAATATCCTGGGATGAATCCAGATCATCATAAATCAAAGATTCTAGGTGACAATTGATAGACTCTTGCATGTATTTTGTAAATTTCTCTTCATACGCAACAGGGTCGTGTCCCATAAGTGTCGCGATGTCTTTTTTTTTGAGAAAATCTTCCAATGTCTTAGGATTTAATAAACAAAAATTGATGTTCTCTAAAGTGTGTAAATCATGTTGTACCAACTTGTAATTATCTGCGAGGGTCACATAATCTAAATCCGTTTGATATCTTAACAAATCATTTTCAATTTCGAACAACCTGACACGATACTCACCAAGGGAACCAATCATATTTCCTAGTTGTGTTTTATTGTCTGGTAATTCGAAATCAAATAATCCGAAATTTTTTAAGCATTCATTATTATGGTCTACGATTTTGGTCGTAATCTTTTCCTTTTCATCATTCCTCTCTAATTCTTTTTGTAAGTTTGCAAGGTTGTCGAATAAGAAGGTACTGTTGGGGCAGGTGTGAAGAATGGTTGGTGGGTAGGGTTCATATTTATGAGATATGCCTAAATCTTGCATGATTTTTTCGTGGTTTGGGACAGCTTTATTAATATAGGTGTCCAATATTATTTCCTTTTTCATCGGTTCTATTTGTTGTTTAAATGGGTTTAAATTGCTCAAGAATTGTGAGAATCCACCTTTAATTTGGACATCTGTATGATCATGTTTTATAAAATCCACACCTTTATCTTCAGCGGTGGGGTCTGGCCCGCTGTCAGCCAACAGTTTTAATCGCTCTTCCTTTCTTTTATCTGCAATCTCTTTATGTTCGTCACCCAAATGTTGTACTTCTTCTTCCTTCAACTTTGTGTATTCATTTGTCAAAATGTCCATTTCTTTATATAACTTTTCCAGGGGGTGTTTAGTTGTAAATCTATACATTTCGTTTTCGAAATCCCTGGTGCCAATACTGGTAGACATGCCACCGTCATAGGATGAATATTGTGAAGATATGCTGCCTGGCGATTTGGGTACCGACCCATGGCCTGAGCCTCCTCCTGAACCTGATGCGGGCGACTTGTGGCCGGAACCGCTGGAGTCCGAATCTCCGGAATTCGATTTTGGCTTGGCCGTTGTTCCCTGTTGGTTCTGTGCGGCCATGAAGTTCCAATCTGCTTTGGACGCTGTAAAAAGGGGGAAGGGACAAATTGTAAAAATGGGGACACATTTGTGAAGACAGGGGGTCCCGCACGAAGCTGCACTAAGGCAGAACAACACGAACTCGTCGACATAGCCCCTGCTCTCGTGAGCAGAATCGGTCGAACATATAATGTACGCGAACGGTCTTCTCATTTATTCTTTGTTTCAATTACATTTTCCTGATTCAGAACCGGATCCATCTCCGTTTACACTACCAGAATCTTTGATGGATTTACTTTCCACGAATGATATATCTGACACATTTTTCGTCCACGTATTTAAAAAATTTGCATCGTCTAACTTCATCCACGAATTGATATCATCCACGTTAAATTCTTCGGCCGCCCTGTGGTTGTCTATTTTCCTTTCCCCATTTATATGTATTCCAGAGGAAACATTTTGGTAGAGTGCGTAAAAAAGCACTAGCAGGGAACCCGTGTAAGTTATCATTTTTTTCAGCCCGCGATGTGATTATTTTTCTGGGGGAATTTGTTTTATGCGTATGGCATGGGTGTGTGTGCATGTACGTGTGTACCTTTTTGCGTGTGTTTATGCCGCTCAGTGTTTGAACAAAAAAGATTAGTCACAGTTGACAGTCGCGTGTCGCAGGTGGTTGTGGTCGGTCACAGGTGAACACAATTCAGTTGCGCTTGTCGCTACGAACCATGGCACACGCAAAATTGAGTTAAACACAAAATCGTAGAAAAGACAAGGTGGATGAAGGGAAAAAAGTTAAAGCGAAAAAATTAATACAAAAAACAAAATAAAAATGTTTGGAACGCCTGTCACCAATTTGTTCTAAAAAATGACACAAATGAATGAATTATTTAGAAGAATAATTCTTTCACGAAAATTGCACAACTTTTTAAATGTGACAAAAGAACAATTTATTTTGTTTTTTTTTTTTTTTTTATTTCAACATTTTGACGAAAATAGAACATATTAACAATATGTGGCAATTTTATTTTATTTTTTTTAACTTTTCTAAACATACACACGTACGTATTTTGTCATGTGAGCGTTTGCATAACAGCACATTGCAGCCGTGCATGTGATTGCTGGTTTGTGATGACATCGCATTTCTGCTTCTGAGTGCATCTCGCACGTAGCGTAGCGTTCGCTTGGTAATTTGCCATTTCGCCAAACATTTGTCCTTTGTTGCGTTTTTAAATATGAAAATCTCCATGGCCATATTTTTAAAGCACCGCATAATACAGAAAAGCGCAAACGACTCGGTCTACGTCGCATAGACAACACTGCTTTGGTCGGGGTCTTTTTTTTTTTTTTTTTTTTCCTTTCAAAAGCAAATTACCGTATTGTTGGATCGTTATGGAAACGTGTTCGCGCACGTGCATATTTACGCATGTACGTATTTACACATTTAAGCATTCTATAAGAATCTTTTTTTGTCCTTTTTTTTTGTTCGCGTCTACATTCTGGTGCTGAGCAGTGCATACATCTTTCGCAAACATAAAAAAATGTTGCGCCTGTAAATTATAACTTTGTCACACACAGTCGAAATGGAAATTTTTTTTTTTTTTTTTTTCAACATAGGAAAGTGGGAACATTTTCATTTTTTTGTGTTTGCAACAAATTGTGTACAGTAAATTTTTAAAACGGTCAGTACGAACTATGAGCGCGCCAACAAATGGCATAATCGGCATATGATGATAAAAGGAAGTTATCTTGAAAAGCGTTCACGCTGCCTGTGGATTATACTCGCTGTGTGAACATGCCCGATAGCGCATTAACTCCGTTTCACTGTTCCGTAACGTTGGCAGTGGCGCAGTTTGTCTCACATTCTTGCCGCATGGCGGAAAAGGTATCAATTGGGCCAAAGGAAAAAAAACAACAAATAGAATCCAAACGCTGATGTATGGCATATATGCACACACATTTTTGCCTCCCCCAGTCGGCGCATAATGACAAATGCTCTTTACCCAATTCACTGCCGACACGTAGTGACTGCGCTTCGGAACACTTGTGTGAACATATACTGAAGTGCGCGACTTAGCCATGTTCTCGCAACGATTTGTTGCGCGGTCAACTTGCGGGGAGGGAAACATTCACCAGCAGACGCAGCTAAAAATGAAATATATATTTATATGAACATTACACACACGTGTATGTGCCCCTTCATCGTATAAATCAAGTTCTTTTTTTTTGTTAAAAAGGCGTTATGTTAGGAAATAACATTTGGTTGACCAGGAACACGTAGCAGTATGTTTGTATCATCCGCATTTTCCATTGTCATTTCATTATTGATACACACATCGCTGTTTAAGACGCTGTTCACCTTTTGTGCACATAGCAACCATGTCCATTTGTTGGAATTTTATTTTGGATTTTTCTTTTTTCCTTTAAAAGGCGAAGCGAAAAAAAAAAACGGTAACCCATTTGGGAAAAATGGTACATAGACACGTATGCATACATCACAGTAACTGTGAAAAAAAAACAAAAAACAACACAGAATAAAATCAGCCATATACATTAGCACGTGCATTCGCATTCGCAACTTTTACTGAGTTAACTCATCCTATGTTTTCATTTATCTGTGTAATAACATCCTCTTATGTAAAAATGGGAACAAGGGACTGGAATAGTCTGTAGTGCTGGTTTAAGCTGGCTGTCCCTTTTTTAAGTTCGAAGAAAATAATTCACAATTGAGCTAAATGGCAAATTATGTGCACACTCATTATTAATGCCGTATGATATATGCCAGCTCTTCACGTAATTTTTTTTTCCCCCCCTTTTTTAAGAAGCCTTACTTGTGTCATAGTTTCTGATATATGTACCCATATCCTACACTGTGGTTCACTGTGTGTGTAGGCCTTGTTGCTATATATGAAATGAACATTTTGGGTTTTCCGAGCTAAGTGGGATTATACCGTAACAAACGAAGACAAACCAAAAAAGGACAGCTCGCTGCACGGGCTATTTTCATAACCGGTATCCACTTTTTAGACCAACGTTTTATTTATTTTTAGTTTGGTGCTTTTTTTTTTTTTTTTTTTTTCTGTTTTTCTCCCTTTCCCTTTTTCTTTCTCTCTCTCTCCCCATCTCTTTTATATATACGAACACGGCATTCTCTGCTTTACTTAGCATAGCTTAACTTCTTCTGTTTCCTTTTTTCTTTTCTTTTTTTTTTTTTTCTTTTACCAACTAAGTTGCAATAAATGGGTGTTCGTTCTTTAGCCCTGTTCCTAGACACAAATCAGGGGTGGGAAATGGAAGACCGACATTCGATTCTGTCACTAAATAAATTATTTCGTGAGGACAAAAGTGGACAACAGAGTAAACAATGTTTTGTGCCCCTAACGATGAGCCACACATATTGACACTTATTACGCAATTCCTTAGCAGATCAGCATGTTCTTTTTGGTTTGTATTTTTGCAGTATATATTTTAAGCGCATTCGTGTGCACACCTATTTATGCGTTGATACGCAACACACATGGTGCGTGCGCATAGGGATATAAGTTTGCATACGGCAGTACGCAAGGATGATTAGTGTACCATGCTCCTTTTCTCCTTTGCTATTTAACCATTTTGCTGTTTTATTTTTTGGAACAGATATAACTTTTGTTCTTCACCGTCCTTAACCCTCCCTCTTCTGAAGCACACCAGAGAAAAGAACAAAGAAAGCCAACATTTGTTATCCCTACAAAACGTATAGTCCACATTGGAAAAGACGAAAAAAAAAAAAAAAAAAACAGAGAATAATATATACAAGGTTGAATTGGTTTTATTTTTACCTAATTCCGCCTATGTACATGTTCATGAGTAATTGTTAATAACTGTTCTCAACCTTTTCGCAATTGTTCCTACTTGTTCGTTATTTCAAGCTGTTCCTTTTTTTTTTTTTTTTTACATGTGTATGGCCAATAAGCACACTTAAAGCAAGCGTAGCAAAATTGGTTCGCATGTTGCGAAAATTATATCTCCTTCTGCGGGTCTATTGTTGTGGCTTTCCACGGGAAAGAACTGAAGAGAGTACGCAGCTCACGAAGGCGCCAAGCAGTAGCTACGCGTAAGGATCTAGTGGACACGTAAAAAAAAAAAAAAAAAAAAAAAACACAAATTGACCATTGCACCTTAAGGGATTACCACCCAGTTTTTGTGGAAACCTCATAATGCATGTAAATTTTGGAATTGCAACAATTTTTTGCATACATGTTTTGGTAATATTCTTTTTAAATTAAAAAGGGCAAAGCCACGTGAGGGGAATGCCCTGTGTTCGTTTTCGTCGGGCTCACGTGACCCCCCTTCTGCAAATGTTCTTCACCATTGGGAAATTTGCTCCTGATAACGCAATCCCGTACATTTGCGAACGCGCTGCAGAGAGCGGCTTGTCCAGGTGACTTTCCAACGCCATATCGCACCCCGTGGCGGTATTTGGCTACATTAGGGTTATACTGGGCGAATGCCTCCCTCACGTGGTCGCCTCCCCCTTTTCCCATTCGCGAATATGCTTGATTAACAGAACGCAACGGACAACACGGGATGCAGAAAACATACGGCAATAAGTGAGAGACGATCGCCACGCATAGCGGTATATAGCTACATAATAGCGACGTGTAGCGGCGTGAGCACAAGCCTAAGGTACACCACGCCAGAGTGGCTACACTACCGCTAACCTACGAGGGATGGGAAAGACACATGCGGGGCGACGTTGCACGCCCTGGAAAAACGTAAGAACGTTAAAGAATTGCGACGCGGATTTGTTATTTTGTCACGACTTGACCAAGAGTGTCCAGCACAAATTCGTCTTCTTCGCACTCAACTTGCTATGTGTGAGTAAGAAATACGAATTGGTGTTTATAACGTACGGGCAGTATATCTACGTATACGAATTGAAAAACTTCCTGGAAAATAACATAAACATTAACGTGGACGTAAACCCTAACCCTAACGTTGCTGTTGGCGTTGAGCCGAGAAATGAAAATGGCAGAGACAACGTTATTGCCAATTTCTACAAACAAGAAATAAGCCAGAATGACAGCAGCTTTAAAAACATAAATAAAATAAAGTACGTCTACGATGAAGTGAAAAATGATTTAAGTTTGAAAGCGATGAACATTCCTGCACCGACACTTATCCTGTCCCCACACGTGTATTCTAAAGGATACGTAAATATCAAATGTGAAGAAAGAGACAACTCAGATAAGTCCCTTCTAATATCTGTTGGGTGGTCCGAAGATACCAGTGTTTATTATGTACAGAAAATTGTTGAATGTATTAATATAAAGAAGAAATTAAAACATATTTTAGAACAAAGGTTATTCGATTTGAAGAGGTATGACGACAATGAGACGACGGAGGCCATATATTTTAACGATACACATGTTCCTCCATGTGTGGACTCAGTGTTTCCAACCTCGTTCAGGGACTCCTATCGCCTCTTAAATAAATTAAAAATTGATGAACATGATTTTATTCTAAGTTTAATACACAACAATCGGTATGCAAATGGATATTCCAAGGAACTCCTAGAAATGTTTGAATTGTCCAAATGCATCAACAATTTTGATCATATAAAAAATAAAGCCAAACAGAGGAGAAGCGCCCGTATGTACAGAATGCAGTTGAAAAATGAGAGCACAGTGCACAAAAGAAAAAAGCGACTTAATGATCGGGCCTTCAACCTTCACGTAACTTCTAATCTAAAGAAACCCCTCTTAAAAACGAAGAAAATAAATGTCTGCAAAAACGGATTTTATAAAACATGTCTATTCGAAAGGGAGACCCGCGGAGTGGTATCGGGAGCAGTGATAGGAGGAGCAGGTGTATGTCGCAATGCTGGTGCCCTAACTGTGTACCAAAAAAACGCATTCAAAAAAGGGCCGTATAAAATGAAATACATCTGTTTATTGAGGTGTCCAAGGGACGAACCCATGGGGAACCCCAAGAGCGATAGTGCACAGAATCCAAACACACGAAGTAACATCAATGGGAACAAGAAAAAATTTAAAATTAGCGAAATATATAGCAGTCTTGAGAGCGCTGAGGAGGACGCGTATGATGCCGACGACGGAAGGGAAGATGGGTGGCTCAACCTGCATGATAACCACAGAATGAGGAAAAAAACAGCAGGACAAAATTTTACAAAAAATCATCAGGTTAATTATGTACTAGGCAATGATGCGAAAGAAATTGAAGAACTCAACTTTTATACAAAAATGAGGAACAATGTCTACATGGGTTACAATCAAAGAAATAACCTCATGAGATTGAATGACCAAAATGAATATATTAACGCAATTAGAGACGAGACTGAATTTGTGAATACATATATTAAATCATCTAGTGATGAAGAGTGCACAGGACACTTATCGTCCAAACTGAGGCTCAACAATTGTAGCAGGAAAGGCAGCGGCCCGAAGTTTTACCGTCATGGTGATTTGCGCATGACACTAAGGAGGGGCCTCCATATGGCCCAACTGATGGCGCAACGGAAAATCAAGCGGGTGGCAAAAAATAAAAAAAGGGTAAGAGATGACGATAACATGGATATGTGCTGTGGTAGTAACAGGCGAGGTTGTGTAGGGGGTGCTGGAGGGAGGTTTTCACCAAATGCGTGTTACAGAGGGCGAGCCAAAATAGGTATTAAAAGAAAAAGAAAAAAAAGAAAAAAATATCATGGAGATGAGAAAAAAACGCAGATAGAGCGATTAAGGAGGAATATCAAAAACTATAATTTACATGTAGAGCGATTAAATATATTGAAGAAGGAAAGAAAAAAATTTGTAAACTTTTGCAAATTGTACATAACACATGTGCATTACGAAGAATTCAGCAATAAGTTAGAAAATTTCCTAGACCCAAGTGTCGATATCAAGTACAACAAAATTTGGAAGCAGTTCAACATCTTCAGCTTTAATCTCTTTAATGTAGATTACAATGACAAAATTCTAAAGTCCTCACATATATACGTGCAACCAGACATTGTCTTTAATAACAAAACTTATATTCAGTCAGACACGTCCACATGGGCCATTTCGTTTAATTTTACCAAAAATTTACTAGCCATTGGGTCGAACACACACAATATAAATATTTACAATTTGAACAACTTTTATTATTTTAGGAGAAGGTATGACTATGATGATGCTCTTAACTTTTTTAAAAATGCTTTTGTGCACAGAAAGGTTAAGGTAAATCGCTTGTTCGTCAACAATGACAAGGACCCGTTTTATTTCGATAGCACTGATGCGGAGGAAGATCACTTGGGGAAAAACAGAAAAAGTAAGAAAAGGGAAAAGGAAGCGGAAAAGAAACGAAAAAGAAAGAAGAAAAAGGATACAACGGAAGAAAAACACGAGATAAGGGAAAACAAGAAAAAGAATAATCATTTCTCGCCTCACCACCACGGTAGGGATAAAACTTGCGATCACATCATTTGTGTGGATCATTGTGAGGGAAGCGAAGAATCGTCAACCTCGGTGAGCGCCAGTGAACAGGCTAACAGAAAGGGGGACAAACGTTATCAGCCAAATGGTTGCCACTCACCAAAAGTGAAGAAGAAGAGAAAGAAAAGGAAGGAAAAAAAAAATAAAAACGATTCAGTAATTTTTCGTAATGAATATATTAACCATAAGGACAGCACGAGCAGTGGATTGCCCTCGTCAAACCTCTCATGGGAGGAAGAAGTAGGACACAAAAGACACAGCATAACGAACGGAGAAGAGGAACCCATTCATTTTTATTCCAGTGAGAGTGCCCCCCTTGACAAATGGAAAGACGATTACTTGCTCCATTTGCAGGACGGTGAAGACATCAGTACATGTGCTGCAGATCAAGCGGCGAGGAATAACAGTAGCCGAGATGGACAGGACAAAGCTGATCTACATATGGCATCAATCCCCCAAGCGAAGGATCCCATGAGAGGTATCTGCCCAATGAAGAACAAAAGTTACGTCACAAAGATTAGCGTGAAAGACCGATTTAAGGAGGCGAATTTGCATAAAGCACTTTCGTCCATTATGCATAGAAGGAGCTACATTCCGATTGACTTGGCCCAGTTTTTCCTCAACAGAAAGGAGAATCTAAAAAAAATGCTTCTGACCCTATCGTACAATTTCCCAAGCGATGCAATAATTTTGTTTTTAAAGCAAGCATCCATCGGGGCACAGATTTATCACATGAAGTGGAACATTCATTGCAACATTGCGTTGACGATTCATAAGATGAAAAAATTATATGCTAAAAGATTTGGCTCTAAGTACTGCCGCAATTTGAAGTTGTTTCACCCCCAAATGGTCATAATCAACAACAATAAGTATTTGAAGAATTGGTACATTAAATTTTTACGCAGGAGCATGTCGAGGTATGGCGTGAGAGGAGCGCACGTAATCAATAAAATCCTGAAGAGAGGGAAAAAGCGGAAAACCAACTGGGCGAAGGGTGCCCACGGGGAGAGACGACACAATTATTTAGACATCCTCAAGGGTGAACACGTGGTGGAAAGGACCCCAAACGCAGATCTGCCAAACGGAGAGCGATCACTTGAGGGGCCGCCCTCTCAGCACACCCCTGGAGAAGCCATCGATGCGGCTAAGGCTGATTCTGGATCGGCAAGTACAACCAGCGAGGATGAGGTCGGTGTGCACAACATCATTTACAGAAAGACCAAAAGTTACAACATGTCAAAGGTAGAAAGAATATATGTGTTGTGCGATCCACCGAGTGCCTTCCAGAAAGGGCAAAATGGTAGATTGCGCAACACAAACGTTGATGTACATGAGGATAATGTAATAAAATGCCATAAGCACTTGTACAGCTACAAAAGGGCAAATAATGTTTTAAAAAATATTAGCAGAAGATTCAGAAAGTTTATCAAAGAGAGGCACAAATTTACCTTTTCCTATACAAAACCGCTGTTTTCAAATGAGCATTCCATCTTCGTGGTTCTAGATAAAAGGAGAAACAAGGGGGAACTACATTGTTATGATCGGGTTGCAGGGAAATATGTGGAGGAACTAAAAATGGTCGTGAAAAGCATCCAGAGACACTCGGTAGCGGGGTTGTTTTTGAAGACGCACGGGGCCATTCCCACGGGTGAAGCAACAGAAGAAAAAGCTGGCGCATCGGTTGAAGTGAATGGAGCAGCCGAAGCCGCAAAATCATTCAACGGAGAGGAAGACCCTATGAGCGAACAACGAACAGTGGAGCAAGAAGTGAACTTTGATTTTTACAACAAAACCATACTAGTAGTTTGCGAGCTCAAAGACCACAATAATAACACGCTGGACATTATGCACTTGACGAACGACCCGATCGAAAGCGGTCCGAATTTTGTCGAGGACGAACAACCCGGAACCACAAAGGAAGATCGTAGTAATTATTATTCCCTACGGTTTGATGAATGTGGTGCTGTGAAGGGAAAGAAGCAGAGAATGCAAAGAAATGTCCAGCCCAGGAGTAGTAGCGATGCAAGTAGCAGAAGTGGCAGTGGCAGAGGGAGTAGCCCCCTGTCCAGCAATGCAGAAAAGACAAAAACGAAGAAAACGAAAAAAAAAAAAAAAAAAAAAGGATGCTTAAGAAACGTTATGGCAGGTAAAGCCCACATGAATGGAATTGTAAATTATACCATTGAGATGGAACTGGATAATCTATATAGAAACAACCGACCCAAAGAGGATAAAAAGGAAGAAATGAAAGTGAAACGTGTCATGAATAATTTGCTACTAAATTTGAAAGCCGAATCAGGTTCGAACTCATCCGAGTCAGCTAACATATCAGAAGGTAGCATGCACAGTAGAGGAATAAATTTTCCTGCATATATAAATAACAACACTAGCCAAAGTACAAACAATTTTAACCGGTTCATTAACGAAGGTTTTTTGTCAACAGCTCGGAGTCGTCTCCTAGGGAATGGGTACAATTCAGATTTTTCAAACAATGGTCTTCTTGTTCGTGCACTACACAATTATAGGATGGTGAGGAGTAATGTTTTGCACAACATGAGGAATAACATACGAAACAATCGACCTAATCGTCCCAATCGATCCAATCGATCCAATCGAAATGGCGCTGGGAATGTACCTGACATGAGAGAAGACTTCATGAATGAAAGCACACAGAGAGTTCTAAATAACATGGTGAATGCTACGCAAAATATATTAAACATTAACAACAGCATTGGGAACATAACCGGTAGACCTCCTCTCACCATTCGAGGACGGAGAAGTTATTACACGTCTAGGGCAGTCACACAACAGGCATCTAACTTGAACAACAACGAGAACTTGATCAATTTAGACGGCCCATCTGCGGTCGATTCAGCTGCCTCTGTAGCACGCCCAAATGAGGATAGTGAATCTGAGGAAAGACCCGATTTGGAAGATTCACAATTGGATAACCAAACATCCGGGGAAAGTATGCATTTGCCAAGAGTGGGCATAGAGGACACAAGAACAGAAGGAAGGGGAACACCAATTAACTCGTACGCAAGTATAATAATTAGAAACCTGTTGGCATCCAACCCAGATAGAATTGAAGCAATCCAGGATGGTTGGAGGTTCAGAATAAACACAAGCAGTCTCGATAATATATATTTAATATCTAGAGCAAGTGCAAATACAAATACAAATAATAGCACTTCTTCTGTAGATAATAACGCGGATAGTAGAAACTCTCGCAATTCGAGGGATGGCCGACAACAAAATGAACACCTTTTCCTCAACGTGCTATACAATAACATTTTAAATATGAGGGAGTCGAACCGGAACAACTCTTCCTCACTGGCCCCCAATGTGGGCAACTGGACTTCAAACGTAATGAATAATTCGCAAAATAACAGTCGCAATTTAAATCAAGAGTATAATTCCAGGAGAAATTTGCGAAACACTTTTTTTAATGAGCTAGATTCCTTTACCGGGAAAATATCCCCCATGATGTTAGACCTAATGAACAACAAAAACTCGGAAAATGTGAAAATGGAGGGAGAACAAGGAACCATGCAGTGCTGTATGCGTTTCAGAGAAATCCCTTTTGGCTTGAAATCTGCCTCCATGAATGATAAATATGATGCCATTGTTCGGTACGTATATACGCTTCCCCAAAGTGCTGATGAAATAATGTTGACTCATGGTTCCAAGTCTGATTCTTTTTTCGACTTTGTCATTGTGTGTGAAGGTGTGTGTGAGAAGAACGAGAGGGTAGATCGCGGGAACCGTGCGAAGGAAGCACCTGACGAGGAGGGCAGACCGGCGTGGGACATGGATGATTCGCAGGAAGTAGCTCTTAATATGGGGGACGCAGTGGCAGCCGTGGCAGCAGCGGAATCAGATCGACTGCATGGGATGTTAGGGGAAGAAGGAACGGACGAAGAGACGGATCAAATGACGGAAGAGCAGGACGAAGAGTACGCAGATGAAGAGGAGGAAGACGAGGAGGAAGATGATGAAGAAGAGGGAGAAGCGGACGAATCAGAGGACGAAATCATCGAAGAACCTACGGGTGACGTGGCGAATGACCAAATAGACCATCACGGCAACGCGGACGATTCCGCAATGGAGGAGCCACTGGGAGAAAGCCGCAGCAGCGGTTCACATAAAACTAACCCTTCACAATGGTCGATCGTGAAAGACAGTTTGAGAAAAGATAGCGTTACGGGTGATGTTCGTCCCGGAGGTATGGCATTGGAATGCGCGGAGAGAGATAGTCCGAGGAGGGAAGCAGAAGAATATTCCAAAAAAGTGTCCCACAGCAGCGATAACAACGTAACAGATATGAAACCAAATCTGAGTTCTGCTTCCACATTAGACATGGAAGATTCATCGTACGAGTCATATTATTCTTCGTGCAGCAACACCACCAGCGATTTTAGCAACATATCGGAATGCCTAGTGGATGAATGTTCGGAATGCGAAAACTTAGACCTGTGCTTTGAGGGAAGCAACATAATCAATTTCAACTCAGCTTATCGATTCTTGAAGTATGAGGGTTCCAAGCTATACATAAATAATTGCAGCGTCAGCATAAAGAAGAATAGGGACAGTCGTCTGTCCAAATATTGTTTAAAGCGGAAGGTTGCTCATCCAACAAAGGAGAGCTGTTACCAGGGCGGTAACGGACACAATGAGTGCACACAAATTGTTGCACTAGGCGTCAACGATTTTGAAAATAGTTCAACGCATCTTAACAAGGAGAAAGGGCCGATACGGGATGAAGAGGAGTACGAGCCATTGTGGATGACGAACTGGGACAAAGACACCCCAAAGTGGAAGGAAAAACCATGTAAGGACAAAGTTATCATTACATCTAAGTGGTTACATAAAGTTCTGTTGCAACAAAATTGCTACCTGAATGAGGAGAAGAGGAACAAGTTGGAGATGGTTTTGAAGGGACAGAGAATGATGGAAGATGAACAGAACAGGGGAGAAAAGGATCAAACCTCTGAACAAACAAACAAAGGAACACACAAGAAAAAAAAAAAAAAAAAGCACGTCAAGCAGGATAAACCCATCAAAAAACAAATCGAATATTTGAATGTGCTGAGAAGAGACGAAAATAACGAATCAGACAAAAGTAATGCACTTAAAAAGGACCGTTTCTTTAACACATTTTTAAAATATTACTACTCCACTATCAAGGAAGACAAAGGGGAGAGAAAAAAAAAAAGAAAAAACATCTACACAGGGGATGGCAGCAAAATGAAGAAGAAATATTATGATTATAATGTCAGCGCACTTGTACAATACAAAGCAGAACAAGTAAGAAACAGTCTTTACAATGATAAAAATGCTAATTATATGTTTAAATATTTGCCTAAAAATATGATTACGAGAAAATTTTGCAATAAGGTAAGAATGAGTCCCTCCTATGACGAATCAAATCGAATGAGCGAAGTTCTCTGGACCTTTTCAAATGTGACATTCTATTCAGCGGACTGGTATGACATTATGTATAAATTATTTTTCGAATTATCCTCTAGATTTTACGAAATTATTGTAAAGCACCACAAGCATAATATCCCATGTGTGAAATTTTCTCCAGACGACAACTTCCTTTTATCCTGCTCGGTGGACAGATCCCTGGTTCTTTGGAACCCGTTCAATGTGAAGAATTATGACTTGGATAGGAACTACAACATCTATGACCATGTGTTTCCGCCGAGGGAGGATAGGAAAAGCAGGGAGCGACACAGAAATGTGAGCGTGGTGCGCGAGAAGGAAAGGAGAAAGTTGAAAAAGCAGAAGAGTCACCATCGGATGTCATTCAGCCTCTTGGTCAATGAAACAGTCCAAATAAACTACGGAGGGAAAAGAAGTGCCTTTGAAAAAGTATTTCATGAGAGCAAAATATACAAATCGATTAGGGAAAAGGAACTATTATCAAACATGAAAAAAAATAACATTCTGTGCAAACAGGAAATGAAACATATGGGATGGAGTGGTGACTTCCTGTTGAAGAAGAATATTCCGAAATGTGATATTCTTACGGACCTATTTTACAAAGAAAATTTTTTCATAGGACAGAGACCTAGTTTTAACTATTGTCTTTATTTCCCCGCTGGCAATGTAGCTATGGATAATTTCTGCCCCTTTTTTCAAAAATATTCTTTTTTCCAATTATTCAGTTGTTCCTTTTTCAGTGCGAAGGGGAATATACAAGGGGGCAATCTACACTCCCTACGTTCTTACCTATACAAAAGAAATATGAAAAGAACGGAATATGTCCAACCAAATAATATCCAAACCATTTTCAACATCATGACTGACAAGAATGTTAAAGCAGCTTCTTTCTCTAAAAAAAAAATGAAGCAAATATATTCGACCATGAAATATGTATGTAAGAATTTGCTAAAATCGTATATCGTTGTTTATCCGTTGAAATATGAGGAGAGAATATGCGACCTGGAAAGTGTGAAATTGACGAGGCAGCGTTTAACACGGGATGTGTGTGTTTTGACAGACTATGAATACGGTCATTATGCCAACATGGTCACCTCTACGTGGAATGACGCACGTGCAACGCCAGGGTGGACGGAGGATTTCTGTATTAAGTCATCTCGTACAAAGAAAGACAAAACAAAGAAAAAATATTACACTCGTAGAGAAAACAAAAGAAAGAATAAAAAACAGAAAGGAAAATCATCGCTCATTGAATCCGAATCGAACAACGAATCGGATGACAGCTGGGAAACGGATGTACATTCTTCCTCGTCCTGTGTAGAACCAGACAAAAAGAACTGGAAGTGCGCAAAGGCAAGTGATTACAATACGGAGGAGGGAAGCGACGACTACGACGAGGATGATGAAGATGATGATGAGCTCGATGCAGATTACCAAAAAAGGAAGAAACATGAAAAATCGTTGTTTTATAAATACATACGTGGTATAAGGAACGATTTTAGCTTGCACTTTTTATCGGGAAAAAGAAAAAACTATGAAGAGAATCCAAAGAAATGGATTCCACTTTTTGAAAAGCTAATTCATCAGTACGCAGATTTGAAGTTCTGCAAAAGTATGTACCGACACGTCACATGTAAGGTGCTATCTGACTGCATCGCCAAGTTCGAGGCGTCCAAGCCTAAGCTGTATTTCAACTTTCACATCACAGCAAATTATCAGGAGTCGAAAATTCTGAGCGAACTTTTGCAGAACTACGCTGTCTACTTCGGATCCGTGGGAGCAGGAAGTGGCACCAGTGTAGAAATGAATCAACAATTCCAGTCCTACTTAACGCTTATCAAGAGGACGGGTAGGCTAGGCGGAGGTAGCGGGAACAAGCAGGGTGAGACGGAGGAGGAATCCCCAGAAATGCACTCCAAGAATGTGGGATATACAATTATACTGAAAAACAACATTTCGAATTTCCACAATGTGATAAATAACATAGTGAACATTTCGCATAGCAATAGGATTATCAACCATCACAAGTACTTTCGCGAAAATAATATGTACCAGAAGCACACAAGGGAGGCGGGGATGGCGGATCATACAGAGAAACGAAGCGGGAACACGAAGCATGACTCGAAGAAAAGCCTCCTTGAAAATTTGTTCGACGACTTAGAAAATGAAAGCACCGATTTCTGCTCCTCCGATTCGCTCAACTCTGATGCAAATTGTGGAAAAGGGAAAAGGGGGAAAATGAGCAAACTTAAGATGAAGAGAAATGAACGAGACGGCAAACGAAATGGTTCCACACCGAGGAGGAAGGACCTGGAGGATGTGCTCAGGAGGGAAGACAAAGTGTACAACATATGCTTCCTGAATGCAAGAAATGACAACTACAAGATTAAATATTTTGAAAATATAAACGTTTTGCAGAATATGTACAGATACTGTGGGAAGGGGTTACTCGTGGTGAACGTAAAGTACGTGACGGATGAGGACCCGGAAGATGTAAGCTACACCGGGGGAAGCAGTCCAATGGGAGATGACCCAAATAAACGCGGGAGCGTCATATTCCAGACGGACATACACATTTGCAGTGAGAAGAAGACAAAAAAGAGGAACAAAAACGAAATTGAAAAAAAAGTACATTACAAGAAGGCAAAAACGATTATTTTTATTATACGAGTGAATTTACATGAGCTGAGAAATTACCAAAGGAGGAAAATAATTTTCGAAGAAAAATATGTTAAGAGTACATTTTACATTAACCTCAAGGTGATGAAATTATTTTACCAAATAGCTTTAAAAAATTGTAAATTATTACACAAAACGGAACATGAGGAACATGATGAAAAAGTGAATGCAGAGAAAAAAAAAATTTTGAAATCATTTTATGTGAAGGAAAGGTACTCCTTCCTTGTCTACTTGACAAAAAACCTATTTCAGAGAAGAAAAAAATATCCTTTAACCCCAAGGCGTATATGCAAATACATTGTGTGGATAAGAAATATCATTTTGGACACACGCTTGTTTGACCATTATGAAAATTGTAATAGTGATTTGCCACAAGTACAATCAGATTATCGTTTTCTGTACTCCCTGAATTTAGACCTTCCAAAAAAAACAACTTTATTCAAGCTCTTTTTCCTGCTGTTGCCAAAAAGAAAAAGAGACATGATTATGCTGAACATATCCATGTTAAGATTTTTGTACTCTCATTTGAGCAGGGACTGGAAGAAAAGAGGCATACATTTCACCTATGGTGAGAAGAGGGTAAGAAAGGAAGAACAAAAGAAGAAGAAAAACAAAACCTGCTCTTGTGTGAAAAAACCTCAAGCAACATTTAATTCAGTAGTTGATAGGGAAGAAAAAAAACAACTCAGTAAGTACATAATATTATCTGCAGATAAACATAAGCTATATTTGTCAAAAATTAAGTTTACAAAAATTACCAAGAATTTTTTCACCACCAGATTTGTGCGCATACTTGAATTAAACAAACCAGTCGAACCGAAATTGCCCGCCGCATACAAATCGTCTCGCATTAATTTATTGAAAATCATATATGACAAATCGTGTATAGTGCTGGCCAACCAGTACAGCAATCTCATTTTTGTCTACTTTGCGCACAAGTGTGTTTACACAAATTCATACTTCCTCATCCCCTACTTCACCATTCCGCTGTATACAGAGCGAATAGGAAGAGCACTTATTCCGGTGAGTATAAAAAAAAAAAAAAAAAAAAAAAGGGAGGACGTACAACGCGCGGGTTTACAAAGGTGGACGAGTCCGTAACAGAAGTACACATGTCTCGCTGATTTTCAATTAGCGCTAAACACATTGACGCTCCGATAAGCGCGCAAGAGAACAAAAAAAAAACGAGCGGCGTTTAGTGTGGTGCTGAAGTGGGAGACCGTCCGTTGTTCTGCCCCTCCACGTGCGACCAGGGGGAACTCATTCCTTTTACCCTTCCTTACTCCGTTCCGTTATGTATATATATGTGTATATTTTCTTTGCCCCCCTTTTGCAGAATTTCAGCAAGGACGTCTGCATCGGAGACAGGAAACGTCTTGTGAACAACATAAATTACAACTTTCGAAAAATCTTGGCCGACAATTACAAGGATATGGACGAGGAGCTGAACTTTTTCATCGCGGGCTTAGATGTCATATACCTAAAAGGAAAAAAGAACGATTTCGAGTTAAACGTCTTTGCAATTTTGCTCAACAATATTTTGTTTTGTTACAAATTGAATTTCCAGTATTATTAATTTGTCTACTCTTTCTTCTTTTGTACACAACTCCGTGGACGATTAATTCGACTTCGCTTGCGAGTCGCGCTCGACATGGTTTATTTCTCCGTTGCCATGTTCGTGCCAGAATTTTTCTCCCCGTTTTTGTTCTTCCACCCAAGTGAAACACACTACTTTGTTGAAATGTCAAATTAATCTTAATGACCACGTTAATGACAGTGTTTATTATTATTTTTTTCCCTTGTCCTACCCCCTTTTACACAACTACAAAAGACAAATGTCTGCATGATGAGCATGCGACAGGGGCCTTCCCTCGCGTTTGTTTAGAATGCGTATATGTATTGTCTTTTTTTTGTTAATCGTTAAATCACACTCAAGTATTCTGTGATGGCATGCCTAGCTAAGTTGTCCAAAAGCATTCCAAAGCAGTGATAATTTTTTTTTTTTTTTTCTGCCGATGCTATCTACAGGGTGGAAATTGTTTGGAACTTTGTCCCCTGAGGAGACGCATTTTTTCTCCTCTAAATTTACGCATTTGTAACTGAAAAAAAGAAGGAACAACGCTTAATCTTTTAAGGGGTGATCTACCACCATGCGCCCACTTCCAAGCCTTGCACAGCAGTAAGTGGCGTTCCCTTCTTGGCAAACCAACCTGGCGTAGAAGGCCGCCGACGGCGAAGAGTAAAATTTCTTCAAATGGTTCTAACAGAAAAAGTATTCGTTGGTTTATTCTTAATTTACATTTTCAAAAACAGAAAACTTCGACCACATGCAGTGTCTCGTTATTTTACACATGCAAGTGGATACCAAATGGTGAAAATGGAGAAGCGTGGAGGAGGGATGCAAAATTGAAAGAATTCAGATGGAAGGGTTAAAAAAAAAAGAAAAAAAACAGAAGCGTAACATAATAAAAGAAAGGAAAAACATAGGAAAGCAAAGGACCAATGCTCGTTCAAACAAATTGTAGGAAATCCCTCTTATAAATGGTGGCACGACGACATTGGGGGGCAAAACAAAAATTATGCTTTTCCCATGTCTCGGACAACTCATTCCCCCGGTAAGAAGCACAACCTCCGAAGTGTCTTCCGTTTTTGCCAAAATTAGCACACGTGGATCGTTGTGGCATATCGTCATAATATGCCTTATTCACATTTTTTTTTTTTTTTCTTCAAAATATGTAGCAGGGGTTGCATTATGACGCCCACACCTATGTATATCTATATACAGCATGGTGTGGAAAAGTACAGGGTAAGGGTTGGGCAGGAGAACAAAGGAAATGTAAGCATCTTCTTTAAGTGATTATTTCTTTGTCACTTGGCATGTGCTTCAGCTTGGTCGTCATCATCAGGGCGGGGCGGCACATTTTCCCATTTGACATAATAATCACCAAAAAGGGAGATGCACACACGCATATAAATATATATTTATATATGTGTGCGTGCGAGCTCAATTGTGCGTCCTCCATATGTGCCAATCTACCGGTATAGACTCCCCGAACATAACTTATTTCCGTACTTGTCCAGACGCTCCTTTAATTTCCCCTTGGATGCTAAAATGAAGGCCAGGAATATCGGGTTCGCCTTAAATGGACGAGAAGTAAATTCGGGGTGGAATTGTACACCCACGTAAAAATTTAACTTCTTCATTTCACAGATCTCCATTCTGACACTGTCAACATCTTTTGCCACAAAGCTGAGTCCAACGGATTCTAAGAGTGGAACATATTTTGGATTTATTTCAAACCTATGTCTATGTCTTTCGAATATGTACGTCGCTTCATCATATGCTTTGTAAGTGAGGGAATCTTTGTCAATCACTTTGGATTGCTTCACGCCTAATCGCATGGTGCCTCCCTTATTATCGTCGCCTTTGAATTCATTCATGGAGATGATAACATTGTTGTTATCTATCTCTTCTATACTGTTGTAGTAGTCCTGTATGCCCATTAATTTTATTTTCTCCTGTAATGCTGGATCGTTTATTTTTTTGGGGATATCCTCAATGTACTTTTGCGTAGCCAAGAGATGCGCGACGTCAGAGGGATGTTCACCTTGGTCATGCGGCGAACACAAGTCACAGTTCATCATATCGGTGTGGGACTTCTCGCAATGCTCTTTTTTCCCGTTACCGATTTGGCTATTTGGACCATAGGTGCCACTCTGATCATTTTCGCCCCCTTCACTGGCCTCCAACCCCATACTGTTGGGCATTTCTTCATTTGTGGAGCATGCCGAGATTGCGTGCTTCTTTTGCGCGAGAGAGTCACTATCGTTGTCGTCGTTGTATGGCAAGCTGCTCTGCGAGACATTTCTAGCACCGTGCAGATTGGAGCGAATGTGTGGGGTTTCCTTTTTCATTTCGAAACAAACATCATCCGTGTGGACTCGTCCTTTGGTGAATTCGTTTGCACTTCCGGAGTAGTCCGTTGCGCATGTGTTATATTCCCTTTTCTTCTTGTTAATCATTTTATCATGCGAATTGTTGTGAACTTCAATTAAATCTTCGAACTCTTCTGAGTTGGCATATTTATTTAGGTATTGCCTAGCAACATCGATGACGGCTGTCTGCATGCCAAGGCAAATGCCCAAGTAAGGCACATTATTCAGTCTGCAATATTTGGATGAGAGATACTTTCCCTTAATACCTCTGGTTCCGAATCCTCCAGGGACTAGTATACCATCCACGGATCGGAGAATATCCCATGCACGCTCATACTTCATTCTTCTCTTCTTATCGTAATCTTCATCCGAAGTTGTATCATCAACAAAGAGATGTTTCTGTGTGGTATTGATTTGGGAAAATGTATCGTAGGAATATTTTCTGGCTTTCCTCTTCAGATCGATATTTTTTTTTTTGCTTTTTTTTTTCAAAGATAAATGGCTACTGTTGATATATTTGATAATTAACTTGAATCCGCATTCTATACACGCATGGACGAGGGAAGAAATGATAGACAAATATGTGTCATTCGAAGCTGTGTATTTTCCCACAATGCCAATGACAACACATTCGTTTGAAGATTCGTATCTATCTGATAGCTGTTTCCAGGTACTGAATGAGTATGGACTTATTTGTAATTTATTTTTCAAGACCGTATCTTGCAAATTGAGTTTTTTTAGAACATTGGCAGAGAAACTTTGTTGCTCCAGTATTAGGGGAACTTTATACACATTGGATGTGTCATGTAAAGATATGACATGCTCATTTTTCACTTGCGAGAAGAGAGAAATTTTTTGAATGGCTTCCTCTGTTAAGGGTTCTTCACATCTACAAAATATGAAGTCTGGTTTCAATCCAGCTTCCCTTAATATTTTGACACTATGTTGTGTTGGTTTGGTTTTTTGTTCCCTTAGAGTCCCCATAATTGGTACGTAGGATAAATGACATAAACACACATCATCTGAATTTAAATTATTTATTAACTGTTGCAATGCTTCTAGGTAAACAGCCGATTCAATATCTCCAACTGTTCCACCTACTTCTATCATACAAATGCATGGGACTGTATTTGGTGTTGACGAAGCTCTAATGTTGTATTCTTTTTTCATTCTCTTTATATTGTCATCTATAACTCCTTTGATCCACTTCTGTATAGCATCCGTTACGTGTGGCACAACCTGAACAGTCTTTCCCAAATATTCTCCTTTCCTTTCTTTTTTTATAACTTCTTCGTATACCTTTCCCGAGGTTATATTATTTTTATATGATAATTTTATGTTTAAAAAGCGCTCGTAGTTTCCTAAATCCAAGTCCACTTCTCCACCATCTTCCAGTACGTATACTTCCCCATGTTCATATGGAGACATCGTTCCCGCGTCTATATTTAAGTACGGATCTATTTTTATCGTCGTCAGTAGAATATTTTTCGTTAACAATAGTACCCCCATGCTGCTCATGGCTGTTCCTTTTCCCAGCCCGCTCATATTCCCCCCAGTCACAATGATATACTTTGTGATAGTATTTACATCTTTCGCTGAATCCATTTCAAAAGTTTTCAAAAAGAGGAGGAAAAAATAGCGGCCAATGGGGAATGGGAATCGTGGGTACTGCGTTCCTGTGGGCGGGTTCAAATGGGCCTATCTATTGGTGCTCCTACCCGTGGTTGCAAAATATGTACAAGCCACTTGTACACGTGTGTAATAAGTGGAGTTAAAACCCCTACTTTGAAGAGCTGCGCGTAGACTTCAGAACGGTTGACTCTTCCTACTCGTGCAAATACATGCACTGTTAAGTATGAATAATTTAAAAATGAAGCTCTACTAACACGATGGGCGAAGCAGTACTTAGGCTTGTGCCAATGTGGCCAATAAAGCTACGCACAGAGACACGTACACTCATATATATGTAACTGCATACACGAAGGTGATATATGCATGTGTGGTGTATGCGCCCCACCGGAAGAGTCATGCATTTTTGCCAATCCGGGGTTCAAACACCATTAATATGCAATACAGCGCACCACGTTAGCAATTCCTCAGAGGGAAAAGATAAAAATGGTAGATCACATTACCATGCTGCGCGTTGTGCCCAATCTAAATGTGCACTACAGGCTAACAGGTAAGGGAATTGCGCCACTGCAGAATCTCTCTCAAAGGGGGGGAGTTGACTTTTCGAGGGAGACGACAAACAGCTCCGCCCAAAGGGGTAACCCTTTATACGTTTCTCGTCCACTGACTCTTAAGAAGCCTCTCACGCACGGAGAAAAGGTAAGGGGTAAAATGCAGAACGTATAAATTAAAAATTGATAATTCAAAAATGTAACTTCCCGGGGGACATTAAAAATGGGACTTAATAAGTGAAGGTTAAAAAGTGGGTTTTAAAAATAAAGGCGGATGACTCCAAACAGGTTTATTCTCGTGGAGAAGAGGCAATCCATAACACGTATGCGCCATATATCTATACAGCATACATATTTACGAATGTAATATAAACGGCTTGCCCTGTTCTGGCTTTTTTTAAAAAAAAAAAAAAAAAAAAAAAAAAAAACATTGGCTTGGGTTCAAAATGGTAACATATGGCATGAACATATTTACGTAAGCATTTTTGCACGCAAAATACGCCTCGCCGTTGAGTTCGCAATAATTTTATTCTTTTTTTTTTTGTTTTGTTTTTTTTTTTTTGCTTTATTTAAAACTTAGCATCGGTAAACATGCACGCATTTAATGATGTCATTTTTTAAGAGCAGTTTTATGCGTATTATGCAAGTCGCCGTCCATGGTATTCCAAATCATGGTTGAAAAAAAAAAAAAAATTGAAGCGGATATTAGTAGGGTAAAAATTGGCCTGAGGCGCGCAGCACGGTAGGTATTAAAACGAAGGGAGTTATAATGAAGATAGAATGACAGAATGATAAAATTTTTTAACATATAAATGAAAAGTTGCATGGCGTAGTAATATATAGCTGTGTTTATATATGCTACTTGGGTATATATTTTGACAGGACGCCGGACAAGGGATGCGCAATCATCCGCACTATGATGTATGGGGAACGCAAGGACGGGAGAGGCATACCCGTTGTGTATGTTATGTTACGTTGCGTATGCATTTAGTCGTATGTACTGTACATTACGTATAGGCACATTACTGTAGCAGCACTTTCATTTATGTATGTTAAGCACTAAAACACGTACAGGGAGTTGCCTCTGCGCAGGTTGATGTATTGGGGTTCTTTTTAGTATGTAAAATTAGGCCAAAGGAATAAGCATTATCCTCCCAAATGTGTATTAATTGGCATATGCATCATATCGCTGTACTTTGCTGTAAATTTGGATACATACACCTTAAAATGATTTTTTAAAACAGTAACTTTTGCGCCCTGCGTAACACTCTGAACGTTAAAAAGGGATTGGTAAAAACTCGTATTATCATTTTTTAAGAATTATGTCAAAGGTCCCAGGGGAGAGAGACTTATACCATTTGGTTAAATCGTTCTTCATTCTTTCATTCTTTTTTTTTTTTTTTCTTTTTTGGTGTTTAATGTTTTTTTACATTGCGCAAGACGCACGAAATAAATGCGATTTTTTTTTTTTTTTTTTTTAAATATGAAGTTTATGTCCTAATTTATGTTCATCCCCTAAGGAGAATAAAAGAGGGGTGCAAACATAACCCAAAAAAAAAGAAAGTGAGTAAAATGTAATTTTTAAAAATGTATTGAGGGATGGCCTTACGATATGAGGAAAAAAAGAGAAAAACAAAATGCACATATTTTTCGTTCCCCTCGGCACACTTTTCACATTTTATATAAGCACGGCTGATGCACATTTTTACTGGTGGACAGAGTATGCACCTTTATAGTTTAGCCCTGGCTGAGGAGGGGAGCACAAATGAAAAGTTCTGAAATGGGCACTCCCAAGGGGTGTCCTAGATTGGCGCTACAAAATTCGCACCCACAAATGGCCACTGCACCCTACATGACAATGTTATAAAATGGATTATCATTCCAATCTGATGAGGAGGCACGAACCGCCCCGTGGCCCATTTAACGTTTTGGAATCGCCCCTGTTGGGCTGTCGCTTTTGAGTAAAAAAGGATCGAACAAGATACGCCGAATGGCTCGGAGTATTGATACCCATCACAAGTAAAAAAGACATCCTGGCTTTATTTTAACCGAGTTCTAAAAATGATGAGAAGCCCCGGGGAGTAGGCAACAGAGTAGATATTTCTTGGGTGTGTCCATTTGCTATTATGTTTCATTTGGGTTCGTACATTATGCCCCATTCGAGTGAAACGGTACAAATGTGTGCCAGTCGTTTTATATAGCATATACACGTAATGCTTACAATCGGCCCGTACAGTTCACTGCAAAAACTGGAGCAGGAGCTGAACCAACTCAGCGTACTTCTCATGTATAACCAAGTGACAACATTCGGGTAAAACAATCATTTTCACATTCTGCGTATATTTCTTTTTTTTTTCCAAAAATTTTACGGTGTAAGTGTAGGGAGTCAGTTTATCTTCCTTTCTATAAAGGGGCAAGGAAAAGAAGAAAAAAAAAAAAAAAAGGGTGGGGGGCACACATGTGCAAACAGAAATGGGTTCTTTTGCTGCGCCTATTTTTATTCTTTTTATCGATGGTACCGAATGTACATGCGAATGACGCAATTTTGTTAACAGTAACGGGTGTAAGGGTTCACACATTTTCTGCTTTTTTCATTTGAGAAAGGAGTGGAATCCCAAACAGAATAGATATCGATGTAGGCGCATGTAACTCCCCATGGGGATAAGCAACGTTGTCGAGGAGTTCACACGGATACGTACCCGTAAATGAAAAGGATGTCCACGTTCGTTTTAAACAAAGCAGCGTATTGCTTCTTCGAATTTTGGACGTTTGTTCCGGTCAGTACCTTTAGAAATGTCTCAATGAACTTTTCATGCTACAGTTAGGTGGAAAATAGGGATAAGGGAAAAAAAAAAAAAAAAAATGAAGCGCATAAAAGTGTTCCTTGCCAAGTAGTAAATACACAAGGGTTCCAATTTTTACGTGCATGATTTGACCACCCCTTTATGGCTACATATAAATGCTCATTGGCCAACGGCCAACACGTTGGGTGCGAAATTATTCACATGTACGATGTTGCACATTTGTGAAAGGGGACAATTTCTCTATCCGTCGATCGTGTCTTTTTGTGCCACTTACATTTTCTCGGAGTATTGAGTACCGTTTCATCGCATCTTCTACGTTATTCTCAAAGTTGTAATATTCATTCTGATTTTTTTGAACAAGAATTATGAGCATTCAGATAGGGGGGAATATACGAATGGAAGGACATCTTTGTAGGTGCATGCAGGAAGCGCTTTAAGTCTTTTATAACCTTTACTGCATCCTCGGAGATCATCAAATGGCTGTACTTCTTCGCCAGTCTCAGGCAAATACGTATGTTGTACTTTAGCAGGAAGCTGTAAAGGGGTGGAAGAAAGACAAGCGGGGAATACATACACGGGGCAAATGCAAACTCATGGGAACCGTTTCTGCGTGTTAGCCTTTGGCTTGGCCACCGCTCCGACATGCATACACATAAAGGACATCACCCTACATTAAGAATCGGTGCCTTGGTTTGGCCAGTCCAGCTGCACTGATTAAGCAGAATTTCTTTATGTGTATTTTATTCTCGGAAGATAGGTGTGCTACGTTAGGGGTGGTGGTGATAACAAGTGAAAAGTATTTAAATAAGGTCGTATATCGATGTAGACACGTCCTCGTGCACTTCATACACTTAAGTAACCTCATGCCACAACTCACGAAGAAAAAAAAAAAAAAAAAAAAAAATTACTAGCTATGATACACCCCATGGAAAAGGCGACAATAATGAAGGTTGCATCTAAAATATTTTTGTTCCTTAAAACATCATAAATTTGTTCTGTGTATAACCGCTCCGTAAATTTGTTCAGATTCTTCGAAAGGACGCTATTTCCATGACCGTAGAAATCTGTTTGGGGGGTCAGCGGCGACGGTGAGAAAGGGACACAAGCGGTTCATCTGTGCAGCGCAGAGAACGAGGGACGCACACAGGATATTATGCTAATAAAGTCATGGTAAAATATTCGCACCGACGAAGTAGCGTCAAGAATGTCGCACGCTGCCCGATAGGGGTGGGACTTCTAACCTAGAGATATAAACGCGTGGTTGACGTAAACCAAAGAATTCATCAACTTTTCGTACTGGTGAGTACCCCCATTTAACCCGTGGAGAAGAAGCACAATTGCCTTTTCATGGTTGCTAGCGGAATTGCTATCTCGCTGTAAAGAGCACGAGGAGCTGTTACATGTCGTGCTTTCTTTCGATGGTAAGTTCTTTGAGTATACTATAAACGTGCGCCCCTTCGTGCACGTAACATATTCGTATGCGATTTTGCTTGATGAAATCATCGATTATTCTGACAAGACAAATTTATGAAGAAAAAAAAAAAAAAAACAAAGACTCAACTTTTGCGCTCTGTGTAGCTTTTTCAGTATGGCAAATATTTCCTTACACGTAAAAATAATC